TTTGGTTTATTTATTAAGATTTTTTGAGCATGACTTATAAGTCACAAAGCATGATGATATTTTATTTAAAGTATTTAATAAAGATGTTTTAAGACTATAATTTTCGCTGCGATGTTTAAAGTTCTTGATGATATATTTAAAGAGATAAACGTTTTAATGATGGTTGAAAATCTGTGTTACGGAGCAATATGTATTATTATGATATTTTATATGAAGATGTGACGCCCTTGTTGGTGATTTGTGCTTGAATATTTGTTAATTATTCGCAAAAATTTCTTGGGGTTTAGAAGGGTGTTACACATCGCTCGGCGAGCACGAGCGAGGCAACCTTTTCCATACAAAATCCAAGAGCACCATTTTTTCCCATTCCTTTGCTTCTCAGCTCACCCGGCGATGACCAGGCGTCGTTACATCGCCCAGCGATGCATTCCTTTGTCTGGAGACGCGTAGCAGACAATAACTTCTTGTTGCGATTTTGCACCTGTTTAGCCCCAATTCTTCTTGCGATTTCATGTCAATACAATCCAGATTCTCATAGTTCTCAACACATAATCATCATATAACAACCATACAATATTATAGGCTATGTACACAAACTCATGGCCATTCAACATGTTATTTCCATCAATTTCAACACAATTTCATCACAATACCACATATCATCAAATTATCAAAACCCCAATAAATCCCTACATACCTCTAAACCACATATCAATTATAATGACAGATAACCCCTTAACTTAAATTCCTAGCTTGGTTCTCTTCTCTTCGCGATCTATCAAAATTCCTTTGTGTTCTTCGTACCCTAACTTTCTCCTTTGCTCTTCCAATATTTTCACGATCGTACCAAATGAAATATTTTCCCTTATTCCATGTGTAACCTTTGGACCCCTAATATGTTTTGCCCAACTTATCATCACTTAGCCTTTCACCAATTGCCATCTTACTCTTATCTTCTCTATATCAATTATTCCTCTATTTTATTATTAATAATAATTCTAACAAATTTTAAATAATTATTAACTAATTATCTAATCACTAGAATACTCCTTACTCATCTAAATTCCCATTATCCCACAGCATATCAACACATCACACATCATACTCAACAAAACATCATAAATTCATCAATAATTCATAAATACTCACAATTAATTAATTAAATAAGTATTATGAATTTTGGGGTGTTACATTCCAGATGCAAAATAATGTATTCAGAAGCTTATATGTGGTGTGTGGATGGTGTTTGAGTGATTAGATTGAGGAATGCACGAGCAAAATGAGAGTTTGGTGTTTAAGGTTTGAAAGCTTGTAATAATGGAGTTTTTTGGTGCAATTGTTGTGTGCTTTTTTCTGAGGCGTGATTCTCTATTTATAGAGAATTCAAATGGTATATGTAACTTGCAGAAATTGTTCTTGGTTCAGTTGGAATGCTAGTTTGGTCAGTTGGTTTCAAGTTGCACAAAAATGTATGTTTGTTCATGATAAAAAGGTGGAGTGAAATGAGGAAGATTGTCATGCTTTCCCGGTCTTTAGAGGTTTCTTCTCATCTTTAGAGATTACTTGTGATCTTTGGAAACAAGTTAGGAACTGAATGAGAAGAGTTGTTGGAAAAGCTCAAGCTTTATCAAAGTAGCAATGGTGCTTTATGCAAATTCACCCTAAAATGGTATATTGAAATAGACAAAGCCTCAATTCCTTGTGAAATAAATCAATGGACTGTGTAATTTCTCAATTATGTTGAGATTTGAAAGTTACATGGCTTGAAAATTATGATTATGTAGCTTAGGCTTTGATATTTAACATGAACTTGACATGAAAATGGACCTATAATTCAGTTTTAGATGCCATCTTCATCTCTTCGAAACTCATAGTTCAAGTGTGATAAATTCATGCTCTTGGACTTTTTGAAAATATGAGAGCATCCTTTAAAAGTTTCATGTTGAGCACTTGTCTTGAATCAATTGGGATTATGGAGAAAAATGCCTTACAAATATGGAGTTTCAAGCTAAAAACACTTAGAGAATTTTTGTCATTTTGAAAACTCTGAATCCTCAACTTGGTAAACTCATATCTTTCAATCCCCATGATCTTTTTGGTTCGTTCCTTCTACAATGTTAAAGTATGTAGGATCATCTTCAAGTGCATCCTTTGGACATGAAAAATGGTGGCTTGAGGAAGAAGTTACAAGCCTTGAAAGTCATGTATTTGAACACAAAATTTTTATACTTAATAAAATTTTCAACATCTTCAACTTTACCCTTTTTGCAAGTTACCTTAATTTTGGTGATTCCTCTTGATCAAATTCACTTATCAACCAAATTTTCATGAAATTTAACTTGAGGAGTCTATATTTGACTAAAAAAATCAAAAGTCAAAGTTTGACTTTGAGCAATTAACTTTTTCAAACGATTCAAACCTTCCAACTTCAATGGAACAATGCAACTTTCAACACATTGAGGCACCTTGAAGATTATGAGATGATGACATTGAGGACCTCTTTGAGTGATGTGTAAAGGAGATCAACCTTCAAAACCCTAATTCTTGTAATTTCAACTGAGGAACCAAAAACCCTATTCTCTTTAAACATTTGATGAGTCCATGATGAAACCTTAATGTGGTGAAATTGTGATGAAGATGATGATTACTGGATCACCATAAATGAATGAGAAGCTTGAATCTTCTGAGATCCAGTGGTTTTATCAACCCCTTAGACTCTTATCTGATAAGAACAACAAAACAAACAAGGCATATCCTTGATATCTCTATAAGGTTAATGATGCAAGTATGAATGAGATTATCTTTTGATGTTATGCAATGGTGTAAAATGATGTGGGATCCTAGAACAAAAATTAGGGTATGACAGTTATCAGCCATGTTATCTATAATTAAACTACACAGACAATACAAAGTAGAAAAAATCAAACTCTAATGAAGCACATCGATATTCAATTTAAACAATGCAGATGAGCAAAATACAGAAATGCACTTTCGTATTTCTGAAAAATCAAATTCTGAACAAATACGAAAGTGCATTTTAGGATTAACTTGCAACTCATAAAAAATGCAAATGACATAAATGTGTGGAAACCAAACATGTTCAAAATCCATTGCTCATTTACACTGCTTATCAAACGCAATACTCAGTTATACTACCTATATATTTATGTATATTACACAACCTAATGCTCAATTTCTACAAATGAATGTATAGAGAAATCAAATATGAAAAAAAATTATTTAAAAATTTATCAAATGTGAGTTTGACGTTGAGCACTTCGATTGATTGAATGTTGAAAGTAGAATTTAGAAATGAAGTGAGCACTTCAATTGATTGGATGTTGAAAGTAGGAACTTGAAAGTGAATTGAGAGATTTTGAGAGTTTGAGTGAGTATATTTTAAATGAGTAAGAGGGAGGTCTTGTGCCTTATTGATTAAAAATTCGTCCGAAAGTGCATTTTCATAAGTTATACGGATATACACTTCTATATTGATTTTAATAAAATTAGATTTTTTACTCACTTATGAATGAATTGTGTGTGAACTAAAATACGATCAGAAATACATTTTATGAATTCTAGAAATAATTTTGATTTTTCAAAGAGTGTGAGATCAACCCTTATGATGGAAAAAATAACCCCTTAAATGATAACAAGTGAAACCATTCTAAAAGCCACTATACATAATTCCCATGATTTCATATTTTAATACATTGCTTCCTCTCTACATTTGAAGCATTTGAAGCATGTTATCACATAGAGAAAACTTACCTACAAATTCATTAATATGATTCTTACTATTTTTCAAAAAAAAATATGATAAGTGTACTTAAATATTTTTTAAAGAAGAAAATATATATATATATATATATATATATATATATATATATATATATATATATATATATATATATATATATATATATATATATATATAAAAGAAGAACTTGTCATATTTTCATTGAAAAATAATAAGAAAGAATCACACCTATGAAATGTTTTCCCATTATCATCTTACATTTTGTCTATGGTACAGCACATCAAAGAAATTTGGAATTAATTACTTCATTATAAAACTCTTTCTATTACTCAGATAATCAAGAGAGAAGGAATAAATCGAATATACTTTAAATTCATTTATAAATTAATTAATACATTAAAATGTAAGTATTAGATAATACTTATACAGAGAAAATATCCTAACAATCAGATAAAACAAGAAATAGTCATAACAAACTAACTAGATGATTATAATTATAATAAATTATCCAATTTCATGATGTATGTGTTTGGTATCTTGGTAAAGTATTTCACACATGTTCAATCTTTTGAACCGAGTTCTAAAACAGGTAGGAAGTAACCGAGTTCTAAAACAGGTAGGAAGTAGATGTTCGATCTTTTGGGCCGAGTCCTAAAACAATAGGATTCAACCCGGATCTAATGGAGCTCGACCCAATTAATGACCCACTCGTAAGAATAAGGTCGGATTGAATGACATTTAAGATGTAAGAGGTACATGTTTAGTTTAGTAGAAATTTTCTTTAGTTGTCATGTGTACAAGAATGATTTTACGCACAATTACCGATTTATTAAAATCTTCCTCGAGATTTACTCAACCTCAATTATTGCTCACAGAACGGCCTCAGAAACCATACTCAACACAAACAATATATGTATAATTAGATCAAACCCAGTGTTTTAAACATCACAGGCACAGCAGATATTGCCTTATTCTTGGATACAGCTCAAAGATATTCTTTAATCATCTTTACAACAGGAGCAGCTGCAACAAATATTAAAACATTTTTGTAAAGAATCAATTGATCAGATAGACTTTGCCTATATTTAACTCCCACCACTACCAATGGTAGTATTTTTCTAAATAATCAAATATGTTGCTGACTTTGAAACCCAACTGTAATTCCTTCCATAAACTGAAGGCAAAACTCAAAGAGCGTAAGTAATAACATCGAAGCGGAAAAAATGGCTAGAGTTTAGTTTTAGGCTTTAATCCTGGAAGGCTCTCCCACAACGATCTCCATTCTTGTGTACCACTCACCAATACGTGTGTGCTCCACCATATCCTTACCAGACCTCAAATAGCGTATGGGCCTTAGAACCCCAAAGACAGCCAGATCGGCAAAGTTAGGCTTAGACCCTCCTGAAAAGACAGAAAAGAAGATGTTATATCATGTCCGAAGAGCACAGTTATTATTCATTAAAATTACTAAGAAAATTGAAGTAAACTTAAGCAACCGTCTGAAACTTTTTTACAGGTGATCACACTATCTGCGGGTATTTCTTACTTTTAATGGTTAGGTGCACGACCTTAATTATGAATATTATTTTAAGGTAATATTATAAGTTTTCATCGAGACAAAATCAAACAATGGTAATACAAATGGAGACTTCATAATCAATATTTTGACCTGCAAAGGATACATGAGCCCATAATTTATGCTCCTTTTTTGCTTGGAAAAATTAGAGTAGGCAAAACAGGGCGGGTCGGAAATCCTTCAACAGCATAGGACTCTTAGACAAGAAAATGAGAGCTTGTTTATTATCCTAGGTTTTTAACCCAGCCCGTTGAAGCCCAAAGTCTAACCGGCCTAGCCCAACTGGTTGCGGTTAGCCCACTTACAATAAAGAAAATGACAAAATTCTAAAAAACACTTGGACTGTCCAGTATCTTAAGCCCAATATTAAATACTAACTCACAACCATAAGCCTCCAACCCTCTCTTGTCTATGTTTTTGTGCCCATCCTTTGCTTGTGTTTTTTTACCTCTTTGTGAATGTCACTAAACTCTAAACCTGGATTATCCAAAATCCCTAAATTGTGATTATTTGTTTAGGAGTGATGAGAGATGAGGGTAAGAACATTCAGCTTTATTGATGCTCCAGGTGTTAGGAGCCTCGTGTATGCTTTATTGCTAACTTGAACATATGCAGTGCTCCTAATACCATTCAATTATGCAGTACTATTATAGTCTGTTGTCTAAATACGTGTTATAAAATTTGCATCCGTGTCTTAATTATGAAGCATCATAACTCTGCAGCATCATATTCATGCCAAATATTATCATTTAAAAAAAATAGTGAGACGGCCCAAGCTAAAATAGCTCGAATGGCTTCAACTGGTTGAACTAAGGGTTAAAGAAGTTGGAGGTTCAAGGTTCAAACCCTGACAAAGGTGTAAATATAATACTAACAATTTTGTCATTTAAAGCCAAACTATAGCTCCTTATGGAAATAGTTTCATGGCAAAATATTATTATTAACATAAAGAAAACAAATGTTAAATATAAGTCGGGCTGGCCCAAAAAAACTGTGCCCATAAAGGGCTAGGCTCAAGCAGCCAAATTATAGCTCATTTATCTTCCGGGTTTTTTTGGTCCGGCTCACAAAAGGCCTGAACCCATTGCGGGCTGGATAGCCCGTTTTTGCCAGCTCTAGAAAAAACCAAGACAAAGTTAAATAAAAATATCAAATATTTCAGGCTTCAAAGTCAGAAACCTGGGTGAGCACAATGTGGATGCATGTTCTTGCATATATTTATAAATTATAATAGTTTTGTGGTGTACATACCAAGGAACTCGCGGCCATTCAGAGCATCTACCCATGTTTCTGCTGACTCATAAAGAGCAGCACGCTCATCAGTAATGTTATATTTTTTCTTTAGCTTCTTCGACACAAAATACATAGCTGCAGCCCCAGCATACTTCACCGAAATTTTTTCCATGAAGCTAAAATTGCCTAAGTAGCAATGAAAGTGTAATACATCATCAATGTATCATACATTATCCAAAGAAAGAATTTCAAATACCAAAAATTCAAATTAAGTAAATTCAGCATTTGCATGCATGGGCTGAAAACGGAAAAGACAATATGCAATAACATGTGAGCATATATCACTGAATGTGCATAAGGAAAAAAATGAAACGAAGCAAAACTTATGCAGCGGTAATTTTACCCATGAAATTGCACTAATATAGATCATGCAACGACAAAACAGATAGGAAACTGTTAAACTTCCATTAAAAATAGGGTTTAATAAAATGCCCAAAAGTTCCCAAAGAGCCAAGAATGTTACAATATCAGGAGAAATAGTATAAATTCAATGACTCTTGTAAATGCCTGAAATTGGGTTATTGTACTCCAGAAAGAAAGAAAAAGTGTCCATCTTATCTACCAACTAAGGATATAGTTCCAATGCAATGCATTCTTATTAAGATATCAGAGACAACTTTGTATAACAGAAAACTTAGCAGAAAGAAACATGACAAACTAATGCTCAGCAAAACAAAAACCATATTAATACTTATAAGTAACTATAGCAAACACCCGTGCAACTTACCATTGCTCGTGATATAGTCAAAGGACTCTAGAGCTTCAGAGGTATTTCTATATATATTAGGTGACAGAACGTGTACCAAATGATTATCAACCCACCTACATCAAAAGAGTCAAATTAATTAGAGTGGTATATAAACATGTTGAGCTACAACAGAACTCAATCATTTCCCCAAGGTTGTTTCTGTCCAAGTTTCCTGTAACAAGTTTAAACTTTAGGTACAGCAACTCAAATTGCTCGTATTGATATGTCTTGCAATCCAAGCCAAGGGCCAAATTGATTGAAAATTCAATTCTAAATTATAAACGTTGGTGCTAAATTTAGCATCTAAGTAAAAATTACCGCTCTGAAATCAAACTTCCTTATCATATAAAGAAAGCTGCGAATCAACAGGATTGAGCAGAAACTTATTTTATACTGTTTTGACACAACAAATGGCCAGTGATAAATATGCTTGTTAGCAAAGCAGTACACCGCATTTCTATGCTTATTCTACATGTAAAAAAGATAAGTGAACTATTGCATAATCATCACTGATCACCAAATATAGGTTTTCAATCCTAAAGCACACGATTCAAGGAAAGAGAGAACAAAAGGCCAAGGACGGAAGAAAGAAAACTTTCTCTGCACAACACACAATCCACAGTAGATGGTTCCAATCAAAGTGTGAAAACAGCTTATAATAGTCTCTGCACATCACCCTTTTATGTTTACTAAAAACATGTTTAATCAAAAAATAAAACAGGACCAAGAGATAGAACCATACCGCCGCCATTTGGTCTCTTCATCATCCTCAGAGGTTGAATCTGCCTTCTTCTTAGATAGAATCCTTTCTCCGAGCTTGTCAATTATAGCTGCCAAAGAAACCAATATTAGTAAAAAGTTACAGTAGGTCTCACTTAGAGGGCATAGGTCCATTCACTATTCAGAAAACTTCACAATGAATTTTAAAGGGAAAACGATGAAAACCTGACGAGTCATTTAGCTGCTCGCCATCTACCATTATAATTGGCACCTTCTGATACTCGGACCATTTGATTTCTTTCTTGCTAAGAGGGTTGACCTCCACAACCTTGTATGGTATATCATAGTAGTCCAAAAATGCTGGTAAAGTAAACAATTATTTCAGTAACAAAAGATAGAAAATGCGGCCCAATGAAAAAACTGCAGTAATAAAAGAAAAATATGTATAGCTGAACATCTACCCACATGCCATGATGACACATTCACCATCAAACAGAATAAGTTAACAATGGGGGAAAACATGAACTCGTATGGAAGTATAACTTAACTACCAATGTATCCTACCAACTTTCCAGTGGAACTGAGAACAGGTGATCTATCTCTGGCAACTATTACATATAAACAGCAGATATAGTCATTGTTCTGTATCTGGAATTGGGCCATCTAGCCGCTACGGTGACCAGCCTGATTCCCAAGTTTCCAACAAAAGCCTGGCTAATCAAGACACGTGCAGATTAACCAGATGATTGTTCAAAACTATATACCAACCATACAACCAATTCAATTACATAGAAAGGTTCTCGGTTCTCAATGCTTGCTTATATAAAAACTCCAATCCTAACAACTTTAACCCTTTGATCATTCACCATTGTGAGACTCTCTACTTGAAGGGCTAAAAGCACTTTTAGAGTGCAGAATTAATTTTGCAATGATTTTAACATGTTTGGTTATGTTAAAGTAGAATTGATTCTGCCTCCATAATCAATTCTACTTGAATCTAGAATTTGTAGCTTCTGCCTCTAGAATTGATTTTGAGTTATTTTTACACTGAAATTTATTGTTCAACTCACTTTTACATAAATGTATTCAAACATAAATAAATTCTGCTAAACTCAATTTTATCAAACTCAATTCTGCTAGAATCAATTTTGTCCTCCGTCAATCCAAACACACGCTAAGACTTGTAGCTTCTAAGTTTAAAAATGATTTTTATACTGAAATTTATTGTTCAACTCACTTTTACATAAATGTATTCAAACGTAAATCAATTCTGCTAAACTCAATTCTTGTAAAATCAATTCTACCAAACTCAATTTTGTCCACCCGCCAATCCAAACACACACTTAGTTCACACTAAACACTCATTTTCATGTTTAGCTAATTATTCTACACCACGCTAATGATATATCTCCCTATTGTCACTTGATGTGTTGCTAATTTTTCCAATTGAGCAAAACTACATAAATATCTAATCAATTCAATAAATCTGAATAGTAACAATAAATAAACGATTGCAATTTCTCTAAAGTGAAAATAACGAATCGCAATTCGGATCATCGCACGAATCTAAACGCAAGGCAGAGTAATCAGTATTTTTTTACCTTTCACTTTGTTGCAGAAAGGACAAGCCTCATACTGATAAAGAACGACGTCGCTAGGAAGAGCATCTGACGGAGGACGTTCCTTAGCTAGCACTTCCTGAGAGGCAGAGTTAGCCGCGATCAGACCGCTGACGCCGATAGTCGTCCCGGCGACGGCGGCGAGGACGGAAGAGAACCAACGCCGGTTGGACGGAGATGAACCGGCGGTGGTGCCGTAAAGAGTGGCCTGGAGAAAACGGTTAGTGACGGCGATGGAGGTGGCGGAGCCGTGGCGAGCGGCGGCGAGGTTTCTGTGAAGTAAAACAGAGTAAGCTCTTCTCATAGTGTTTGTGGGAGATTCCGAGCCACGCAGATCTGAATTTTGATTTTGTTTAGTTTCTCTCTTTGTGATCGGTGAAAGCTAGAGGGTTTATTGGGTCGTTTCGAGGGTTTTAGGTGTCTTTCTAGACATGGAGAATAGAGATGGTTCACGTGTACAAATGGAAAAAGTTGCATTTTTTTTTTAATAATCAACAATGATATATATAGAAAACGGATCAGATAGAATAGTTATCCAAACCGATTAAAGAACAAACGACCTCAAATACGAATACAGCATTAAGTGTTTCACAAATGAAAATTACACGAAATAGAGGAAATTTTAACAGCGATAAACCATTTTCAAGATAAGGAAATAATTGCGGACATACATTTCAAGAAGTTGAAAGTTTTACCGTTAAATATGATGTCGTTATGGTTCAACTATAAGATTCGAACTATTGCAAGTCACACTACCCCAACTGTTAGTCTTTCTTTTCTAGCCTTAACCTTCTCTGTGTTGAAAAGGAAACAAATAAAATCCTCTAACTGTAGTCTCGATGAGAAGCTCAACCAATCTCTCGCTTTGATCCAAATTCTCTTTGTTATAGCGCAAGTGTCAAACAGGTGTGTTGTACCCCAAAATTTGCCCTCCCATTTCCTCGACATTTTCTCATCACAAGACCCTTGGAGCTCAAGATCCAGTTAGGGTTTCCTCTGCTCAAGACTTCTCCTTGCACTGTTGATCCAAATTAGGGTTTGTGTTTCCACAAAGATATTTTGACCTAAAATGCCTAAGATGACTTTCATGCTTTATGTTGGACTCCCAAGTTTATCCATACCAAGTTTCAAGTCTTGATTCCAATTTTTGCCCAGTCAATTGGACAGTTGACCTAGAAATCGGCTGTATTGGGGAAAAAGTCAACTGTGGCCAATTGGCAGTCAAATCTCATGAAAATTGACCCACATCAATATTGTGAACTCACATGGACCATTTGATCAAGTTTGGATCACAATTCCACAAGAAATTTGATCAGATCACCAAAAGGGCAAAATGGTCATTTTTAGGGTTTTGACTGCACAAAGGCAATTTTTGACTGTTTGACCTAGCCAATGGCAAACCAAGCTCACATATGGACTCAAGGACCCCATGGGATTGTCTTGACATACTCAACAAGTTCAAAAGATCCCAAATACACAAGATTGACAGTTGAATTTCCCAGTCAATTGATCAATTTTGACTGTATACTGAAAAGTCAAACTTTGACTTTTTGGTCAAAATCAAGTGTCAAGATTCATTTTTCATCAAAACATGCCAAATCATGAAACTTGCTCATCAAGAAATCAAGAATTGCAAATTAGGGTTTGAAATGAAGATTTTTCATAACTTAGAATTTTTCTAAGTTATGAAAAACCCTAATTTTTTCCTAACTTTGTCCCACTTTCTCACCAAGATTCATTTGGATTCAAGCAAAAGTCAAAACATGAAAATTGTAGCCTATTGCAAAATCTACAACTTTGATTCACAAAGTTTTCCCAAAAGAAGCTTGTAGCTCAAGTTACAATTTTTGGAACAAGGGTACCAAACCATTCTTAACTTAGAAAATTTGACCTATTTTAGGCAAGGTTTTTACCTAACTCAAGACCATTTTTCACATACTTCCACTTGGAATTTCAATTTGCATTTCAAAGATGGATTGTATTACACATTCCAAGCTTTCCAAAATGTCCAAGAACTCATCAAACAACCTCATGGTTAGGGAGAATCGAATTTGGCAAGTTGGTAAAAACTCACTTTGTTCATGACCAAGTTACATGTCCATAACTTTGCATTTTTGAACTCAGCATGCCTTAAGCTAGATTACAGGTCTTTTATCTCATCTACACTCCATAATTTAATGCCAATCCTTTGTGCCAAGGTGTTGTTCTATGAGTTTGGACATTGTATGCAAGATTAAGCCATTTTTAGATAAAGCATAATATCCATTTTAGAAAAGTTGCACTTTATGTCAATTAACAATCCAAGCAAGTACAGTGCAAATCTCTTTGGCACAAGTTTATGAGCTAATTACACTGATCAATGCCAAGGTTTGCAGCACATTAGGGGGGCCTCTACCTGTCTAAAAACTCAAGTGGCCTTTTGTTGCTTAAGTAAGAAGAAAGCTAGCATAACATAACACAACTTTGATCTCAGCTAACACAAGCTTAAGAAAAGACTTTGTACACTTTCTAAACATCCTAACTGAGCTAGAACACGAGCCAACCATCTCCATAACCTTCTCATTCACAGAATCATCCTCAAACTGCCTAAACAGAGCACCTGCTGCAGATTGAGTTCCATAGCTCAAACCTTTCATGCATTCTTGCTAAAAACACTTCAAACACATCCCACAACATCCCTTGAAGCTATTCCAAACCTCAAACACGACCTGTAACACTCCCATTCAACATCACCATTTTCATTTTTCTGTTTTGCAGGTGGAGTTCTATAACTCGATTCAGCTAGTTTCAAAGCAAAGTAAAACTTGGAATAGCATCCCTGGACATCAAGGAAGCTGTACCAATCATCACCTTGCATTGAAGACACCTCCATCACCAGATACAACTCCAACTGAACAGGTAAGTTCATGAACTCGTATCTCTCTATCCAGGCATTGTTAGCTTTAGGTTTGTGAAGAAAATATGTCACATTCATAGCCCTGAACATGCCCATGTAATTAGTTTTCATTTATATTATGTGTGCTGTGAGAATTTAATGTCTGAACATGGAACAAAAACTAGGTCAGGAATTGGGGGAGAAGAAATTATCTCTCATCTTAGAGAGTTAAGTCAAGTTCTTTATATGTCTGGATTCGTCTCTTAATGCTCTACATTTTTCATGTTGTGAGTTTTGCTTGAAAGTCCAGGAATTGGAAGATAGAAAACGCGTGTTCATTGTTGTTCATACAGTCTGGAGGTTGAAGAAGGACTTGTTGGGCTGGGCTCTGTTTCATATTTCTTTTTGCACCATTTTGTTACTTTTACACCCCCTAAGCCCATTATGCTTATTTTTATGATTTTTTGACTTTTATTTTTCCTGACTTGTTTATTTTTCCTCATAATATTAAAAACATAAAAAATATTTTTTATACCATTTTTATATTTATTAGGCATTTATTTGTTTGAATGAGTATTTGTACATAAATAAATAAATAGATACACTTTTATTCAAAAATACTAAAAATAATGCAAACACATTTATTTTCTGATTTTTATTTTACTTTATCTTCTGAAAATATTTTATATAAAATATACTTTTTTTATAAATATTAAATATTATTATTTTGTACATATTTAATATATTTGATAAATAATACAAATACATATATATACATTAATATATTTAGGTAAAAATGCAAGATATATACATTTTATTTTTTTATTAATATTTAACATTAAAAAATACCTTTTTGACAAATATACTTCATTTTTATTTTATTTTTGTACATAAATAATAAATATTATACATATTAAATAATTAATATCTTTTATTTAATAAATTAGGGTTTTGCCCTAAATACACAAAAACTCCAAAAAATTAGTACTTTTATTTTTGTTTCTTTTATACATAAAAACACTTTTTTTTCATACATATAAAAACATCTTTTGCATCTTGCATATTTATTTTATTTATCTTACTTAATTTGTATATTAAATATCTTGTAAATTCTAAATTTGATGTAATAGTCTAGGTTTAAATTCCTTGTCAAAATACCCCCATTTGAACATTTGTACCCCCCTTCCCATATTGTGTTGTAATAACTTAGGAACTTTATTTTTCGCGCTTTAATGCTTTCTAATTATGCCATGTTAGAATTAGGGTTTGTATGCGAATCAATTAACCAAAATAGTTTGACCTAATTTCAAGATAAGCAAGCATGAAAATGGACAACATTAATCACACTTGCACCCCTAGGGTATTCCACTTGTTGCCTTCAATAAATGGGCCATATTGCATGTTAGGTCTCTTTGGGCAAAACAAATAATCAAATAATCATAGTCCCTCGATGACGCTTTCGAAAGTTGCCTAAAAAATGATCAAGTCCCTTAAAGAAAACATTGCCCAAAGATACTTGACACCATTGCAATTATGGTCTAAACGATGAGCCGCGCCCGTCCTGTTCACATCCTAACACAAGATTGTCCACCAAATACAATGGTGGAACAAAATTGTTAAAAGGGTTAAAACATAGCAAAGATCTTTGAGAAATTTAGGGTAGATAGCTTTTAGTTACTTGCCAACTTGCAAAACAAAAACACTTGCCTATTTTTTCAAAACCACACATCACAACACTTTCAAAACAACTTTCAAAAATATTGAAAACTTTTCAAAAGACATACACCTTTGTATACATCCCAACATGGATCATTACAAAGGTTGCCACCACATTGGCCTCTTTTCAAAACATTTTTCAAACCCACACACAAAGCACCATTTCAAACAATTGAAAATCAAGGCAAGTTGATCTAAGCAAGTAACTAAGAGCCCATGGATAAACATGGATAGAAAGGGTGCTAATACCTTCTCTTTCTATAATCTACTCCCCGAACCCAAGAAAACATCTCAAAGGTTTTTGCTGTGCTTTTTAACCTTTCCTTAGGATAAAATAAAAAGTCGGTGGCGACTCTTGCTCAACCGAAACATTTGCGAAAACAAACGCAAAACCATAGTCAGTTCTCCCACCGTATCACAGAACTGGCGACTCTGCTGGGGAGAGATTTAAAAGTGGAGTAACCTTAGGGCTTAGATCACTCTCTTGCATGACTAATTGTTTGATTTGATTGCTTTATATCTTGGCTCTCTTGTTTGGGTTTGCAATCCTACACCCGGATTTTGGGAAACATTCATAGATAGTAATACGTTGTGGAAACTGTGCGGGGTATACCGACACGGTCGAAGCAATAGCTATATTAGTGCGACATATTTGTGGGTACCGGTAACCCTTGAGTTCAATCAAGGAGAGTACGGGGCCACTGAGTGATGTC